GCCCAGCTTGTTTGGTAAGAGATAAAAAAAATCACTTATATTGTGAATAATTGTTGAGAGAAAGCAATTAGGGAAAGCTGGTACAGAGTTGCTTTCATTTTTGATTATGCGGCAATCGATTTTGAGAGGCGCTCGAGTTTAATGAAAATTTCATAATTCCAAAAATAACCCCATATATTTTCACGATCGTGGCTCTTTCTCCTCGTTCTTCTACTTCCCATCGTTCATCTTCACGCCTTCTCTTCCACGTTCTTCATGCCATAGCTACTCTTCTCATTCTCTTCGTTCAATTTTTCTTGTTGGATCGTTGAAGCACTCTCTACACACCACAAGAATCAAGTAATAGACATATTATGTTAATTTTTCTTGTCAAAGGCGGAGGGATATCTACATGTACCAAACATATTTAACAAAGAAATATATAAGTGAAAGTGAAATTCTTTTTTTTTTTAACCAAACACTTGAACAGAAAAGTCATTTCAACATAATGGTCTTTTTAGTCATTATACATAGTTCACAACACTTTGACACAAAAATTTACCAAACACTCAAAACTGATTATTGTACCAACAACACTTTTGACAAAAAGTTTACCAAACGCTCAATTGATTTCTTTCACAACGGATTTCTCTTACAGCAAATATAACATCGATTATTTTCACAGCACAACAATGCCAAACTGGCCCTAAGAGACGTGTTTTGAAATGCATGACAGAAAAGCACCCATAGATAAATGTGTTTAGGACGATTATGATTTTTGGGGGCATTGAACCCTATGAGAAGGGTTGTAATTTATGTATCGAAACAAAATAAAGACCATCGATGAATAGGAGAATGTTATTTTATTAATGCTTGCATTACAATTAGCTGGTAAAACACACACAAACGACTCCTTCATCAACCTCCACACATTGGGAACTTGCATATTGTGCCTTGAGCTGAGCAATACAGTCTGCTTGACAATCAGCCTCGTTACAGGTAGACGCATCAGGAGAAGGGGCTGGGCTTGGAGTGAAAACTGTGCGCACAGCCTCAACACCAATGTGTTGGTTTGGAGCCAACAATGTCATGAGGACCAAAGCAAGCACCAATGTCAAACGCATTGCAGCTTTTCCTTCCATTGAAAAACTTGAAGAAAAAAAACACACAAAAGTTTATTGAGAGACTGTGTCTTGATGGGTTTTGGTTGATGTGTGAATGGACTGTAATGTAAAGCGTATTTATAGGATTTGATGGATGCTTATTATGGAAAGGTATCTGTTTGGTGGATTCAAATATGAAAGTACCAAATATGTCTACCTTAGCTGTGTACTAAAAATATTGGTAACTAACCAAGGTGGTTGGTGTGAATGGTTCGGCACTCTCATTCCTTAAGAGAGGTCAGGGGTTCGATCCCTGCTCTCGTATGGAGTCACCACTTTGGCCAGCACTTTACCCCTTACGGGCCAACCTGGTGTGAGCGGGGATTAGTCTGGGTTGTGGTTAAGGCTTAAAGGTGCAACCCATAGTTGGGGCCCATCCAGGACCACCTCGTGGTTCAGACAAAAAAAAAAAATATTGGTAACTATTTTTTAGGGTTTCAATGCATCCGATGCACCACACGTGATTCTAATATGATGCATTAAATTCACTCAAATTATAATACATGTACATATAGTACATTGTGTATTTACACACACGATAATTTCTCATAAAGCCCATGTCACTACAAGAAAAAGCCATTTAATAACGAGCATTGTGCGTTGTTGAAGGGTATTAACAACATGCAGCGCACGTTGTTGAAGCCGATGTCGTTGCATGTTGTTGAACACCTCATTGACAACGTTTGTATGTGCGTTGTTGTTACATTTTTAACAACAGTCTTTGCACGTTGTCATACTAAATATCATTGTTTTATGGGCTTCTTAGATCTAGGTCCAAAACGATTAGCTGTCATTGGGTTTAGTCCACACGTTTTTTGTTTTAGATGTAGGTCCTTTGACATTTATTACTTTTTTTTTGTGTCGATTTTACCCTTTGATGTAAATAAGGAAAACACGTTGAAAACATAAATTTAATGCATTATTTCCTTGTAATTGCATTTCAGAATATAAATTTTGAATTATTTCCTTGATAAATCGTGTTACCTATAAGTTAGGAACATAAATTAGAAGACTACCTATAAGTTAGATACAAAAATATACAAATAAAATTTTATGTTACATATAAAAATTAGAACATAAATTACACATTGTCGAAAATATGAAGGAAAAAAAAAACACATATATACCTATGCAATAGGCAACAAGACAATATATCTACACAGTAAACAAATGCGTTTTTTCCTTTGTCAAAACATTTAGAGTTCAAAGGAGCATGATTGTAGGTAAAAACGTGATTTTTGGGATATGTTTGCTATATTTTCCTTTTCTATTCAATGCCAAATGTTGTAAATAGCTAATTATTATGACATAAATTACTATTATCTGATTCAAGTTATAAGGGGCAACATTGGAACAAAAATGATTTTAAAAATAAATGAATAAAAAGATTACATAAATTTTAAAAAAAAAATAAATGTAATCCTATGTGGCACAAAAGTCAAAGGACTTAGATCAAAGTCACCAAATCCGAGAATTAAACTCAACTCCTCAATGGGAATTTGGATCTATATCAACTTTTCTATTGTTTTATTATTATTTTCAAATTCGCCTTATCAACAATATAGTTCATTTGTAAACTGAAGCTTTATGATAAGTAAAACTATTTTCTTCTTTCCCAACAATAAGATAACACATAATAAAGAATTTTCATTCAAAAAATAACTCCATACGTATTACAATGATCAATAGATTCATTGTCAAAGTTACACTTATCCAAATGGAAGTAGAAGGAAATTGTATGCAGTTTTGAGTTTCCACTTTTTAAAACTCTGTGTTTGCAGAAACGTTGTCAAATGTGGGAGTGGGGTGACTCTGTTATGTGCAATAGATCTAAGCAAATAATTCTAGGACTGCTGAGGAGAATTAACAAGTTGGAAGCAGAAAAAAAGAAAGGGAATTCAAAGCTGAAAAACCCATGATTTGGGTGTCATTGTGCATGTTTGGGGTTATTATGTGCTTGATTTCGAATGAAGATAAATGCACCAATGGGAAGGTGTAGAAAGGGATGGGTAGTTGGCATTTTGGTTTAGGGTTATAAAGGGATGGGTGCACTGCTTGGCATTTTGTAAGTTTTTATAAGGGTTAGAAAGAGATGGGTGGTTGGGATTTTGTAATGGTTAGAAAGGGATGGGTGTTTGGGGTAGAAATAGATGGGTAATTGGCAATTTGTAATGGTTAGAAAGAGATGTCTAATTGGCAATTCTGAGTGTTGTGACCATTGTAATCACTGTAAGAATTGTTTTGGTGAATGAAAATACAAGCTGTCATTTTGACCATTGAAATAGTAACTATCACACCAAAAGAACTGCACTTCAAAGTATGCCAAAATACAACATTTGAATTCACATGTGATTACATCAAAGCTGGTCCAAATTCAGTTTCAAAAATACATCTTCATCCATTCACTTCAAATAAAAATCAGTTCAACAATATACTAGCAAATAGATTGCAAACCAAAATGATCCAGAACACCAAAATAAACATCATAACTCTTCAACCATTCACTTCAAATTGTTGACTAAACTCTCCATGGCCTTATTCGTTTTGCTGGAGATTTTAACCTAGGCCTTTTTGGAGAAGTTAGCATTGGTTGAGGTTGTGAACTTGAACCTTGATGAGCAAATATTCTTTGGGCAGGTTGTGAATGAGCTTATGAACTTGAAGGTTTCACAAGTTGGGAACTTGAACCTTGGGCAGGTTGTGAACCAGCAAATAGATTGGTCTTCCTTATGACATGGGGGGCATGAGCTCATCTTTTCACTTGTTGCAAGCATAGATCCCTTAAGCCTTCAATGATGCAATGATTGATTCAAAACATACCACAATAATCCAAGAACTTACATTAAACTTTGGTCTGGCCTGAGTTTGTTGTTGTTCACTCACAACACCTCTGCCTCTCATAACACCTCTGTCCCTGATAGTTGTTGTTCCACTTGCAGTTGTTGTTCCACTTGCATTGACACTTGCAGTATCAACACCTCCAGTACCAGTTGCAGCTCCTCTTCCCCTTGCACCTCTTCCCCTCACAGCTCCTCTTCCCCTTCTACCGCCTCTTGCTCTAGCACCTCTAGGTTGCCCCTTCATTGTCAATAACAACAAATCACATATTAACATTGCAAAAACAGTCCAATCACATGTTAACATAGCCATTTTCAACAAATGAAATGTGTAAACAAATAAATCAAGAACAATTCTAACTTGTCCATTTTGGGGACAACCAGCAAAATTGTGACCTTCTTGTCCACAGTTTCGACATGTCATTACAATGCCATACCTTTTAAGTTTTGTTGCCCCTTTTGGTATTTCATCAGGTTCTTTATTTCTGCTAAGTTTGGGCCTTCCTGGTTGGATGCGATAAAGAGGTGGCTTGATACGTACATGCCCTGTTTTTTTCAATATGCTTGACTAGGCATTGGAGATATATAGCCCTCATAAGGGCTAGTTTGGCATTGCTGTGCTTTTAAAAAAAGTTGCTTCTGCTGTGCTGCGAAAATAATCAGCTGTGAAAAAAGCAGCTAGGCGTTTGGTAAACCAAATGTGAAAAATTGCTGTGAGTTGTCAAAGTGTTTGGTAAATTTTTTTCAGAAGTGCTTTTAGTATGTATAATGACCGAAAAGGACATGATGATGAAACTGTTTGTTTTTTTCTTCATTCTTTTTCTACTTTAAAAAAAGAAAACAAACTTCACTACATAAATTTGTTTTCTTTTTTTAATTTACACATTTTTGTAATAAAAAATTGTAATCTACAATTAGCACACATATATTACCATAAATTATAAATTAATATTGTAACAAAAATAGTTCTAAATATTGTTATATTAATAATAATAATGTGTTTTGAGGGCTTTGTAGAGGGTTAGCATAACAAATATACAAAAATTGTTCAATTTTAACATGCCCAAATAGATCACTACAATATAAAAAAAAGCTAATTAGATGCATTCATTAAATTTGTAGCGATGCTATTTCTCAATGCTTCCATCTCTTGTGTTCCATTGTCATGAAGACTATGAAGTTCTTGTTGCACATCAACATCCTCACCTATCTCTTCACTTAAGATATCATTTGAAGCATCAAAATGTCTATCACGTTGGGCATGCCTCCTTATATAATTATGAAGTGTCATTGTGGTTATTCCATGTAGCTGGAGCTTTTGATGAACTTCCCACATTCTTTCCCATCCTTACTAAAGAAATATGTGTTGAGTATGAGAAATAGATAATAGCAAATAATTGTCGCAATATACATTATACTGAAAGCATAAAAATAGCAAACTTTCCTTTTCGTACAGATATGAATATTCATCTATATTATCCACTATATGGTATATGTTTGAAAATGATAACAACTCCCAAGAAAACTTCCTTAAACCCACTTCTCAATCTCAACAACAGACAAAGAGTCCAAGCATGGAGTTATCCTAATGATTCATGAAAGAAAACCAACAAGAAGACGAATCCACACATGAAAATAAATTGATCACCTTCACAATTGACATAAGAACAAGAACTGTATAATTTTCCTAATCTTTAACATATATTACTTGAGGAACTAGCTAGCCTATTCTCACCCGAGGAGACAAAGATAACATAAAGTCTTAGCCAATATTTCCACCAACACAAAAAATATAACTAAAAGGAAGAACTTGAAACCATTACCCAATCAAAATTCTTCTAACACAATAATAAAGTCCACCGACACTAACAAAAAATAATAATAAGGAAGAACTTGAAACTATGACCACTAAAAATTAAAAGCTTTATTTACCAAAAATTTTCTAACACAACAATGGACGACAACTTAGATGGAATAGCAGTTTCAAAGAATAGGATTTTTTTTTTCTTTTCATTCTTGAGAAAAGAGAAGCCACCAGATCTGGAGCTAATGTCTTCTTCACTCTTTTCTTGTAGTTCAAAGGAATTATGTTTGAGCTTGAAGACAACAAGGTTAGGACAATGGAAAAATCAACACGGGACTTGACTTGGGCTATATATATATATATGATTGCAAACCATCAATATCAGTGAGATTCTAGTTCTACTACCCAACCCGCAGCCCAAATATAAGTCTCTGCTCAACCACTTCACCGTAGAGGCTTATGAGTAACAGCGGCAACAACCAAATTACACTGAAGAATAACAATAGCAAAAATACACTAAAGGGATGAAATCCATTAATTATTTGATTACTTTTGTTCTTGAGATTTTGGAACCGTACCAAACTACACAATGAGTAATAAATCTATGAACAATGATGGTTGGGTAATCTAGAGAAAAAAAAGCATATAGGACAGATATGTTTCAGAGAAACAGAAACAGAGAGAGAAGTATCTGACCCAAAGGCCAATTGAAAAACCTAGACCAAACTAGGGAGGAACCTTGCCAAAAAGCAAGGAGAGACAAACCCAGTACAAAACTAGGAGCAAAACTCTCTCTCTGTCTCTCTGTCTCTCTGTCTCTCCCGTGTCTTCCCCCTAAAGCCCCAAGAACACAAAGCCCCCAATCTCAAAGAAACCAAACAAAAAACCCTAATTTCATAACATATATAAACCCAAAAATCATAAATGTAATGGGAAGATGAACTCACTGATGAGTAGCTGATTGTTGTTAGCAATTAACTTCCTTAATTGAGATGGAATTTTGAGATGCAGGGGGAGGAAGAAGAAGAACAGTGAGAAGAGCAGTCTGTGAGAGTGAAGGTCAGAGAGTGTGAAGGTCGCGAGATTATAGAGGGATAAACGTTGTCATTTTGTGAAATATTTAGGGGTATTATTGGAATAATGAAACTTTCATTAATGAGAAAACCGGCTCTTTTTTTAAGCAGCTTTTGAAAGCTGGGTATTGGCGACTTTGAGTTTTTGCTTTTTATGATGAGTGTTTTTAAAATAAGCGTGTTTTTTTGGGTTTACCAAACACCCAACTCATGCCAAATTTTTATTAAAGCTGCTTTTTAAAAAAATTAAGCGGGGCCAAACGCCACCTAAGCCCTATCATATGCCGGCCTTTTGTAAAGTGCATGCGCAAAATCCAGAGGTCTGTGCTCACTCTTTGCTATTGCAGCCAAATCATGTGGACAAGGAATTCCACTTAAGTCCCATTTTCTGCAGGTACATGTATGCCTTTCTAAATCCACAACAAACATAGCTCCCAACATGCTATTAACTTGATACTTCCCCCCACCAGCATACGAAGCTATGCAGTGGCCACTTTCAATTGAATTCTTTTCCACAATAGCAAATATCCTTGGACCAACCTCATGGGGCCACACTATCTCTCTAAGTCTAGCCATTCTAAGCATAAAATAGGTTCTAATTCTCTCCAAAAGAGTAACAATGGGCTTATCCCTTGCTTCTAGAATTGCAGCATTAAAACACTCACACAAGTTGTTTAGAAGTATATCACACTTTGGGACTGTACTAAAGTGTGATCTACTCCAATGAGCAGCTGGTCTCTCCTCAAGCCACTTATAAGCTGCCTCGGATTGACCCAACATCTGCTCCATTTCAACTTCAAATACAGGTATTGTTGTTGCCCTAGCTGCTGCCCACAACCTCTGCTTCAAAGCATTACCAGTATGGCCTGTAAGCTTGAAATTATTGTGCAAGTGCCTCACACAATGCCTGTGCTCAGCATTGAGCATCAAAGCATGAAGGGCATTCCCTAAACCCTTTTGCTTATCAGTAATGAAAATCCACCCATTGCCATTTTGAATACCTACATCTTGAAAGAATATGTCAAAGAACCAACTCCAAGTCTCTGTGTTTTCAACTTCAACAACAGCAAAAGCAATTGGATACATCCCATTATTTCCATCAACCCCAACTGCACTTAGAATCTGTCCTGGATGAAAACCCTTAATATGGCACCCATCAAAACCCACCACTGCTCTACATCCTTCCACAAATCCTTTTTTAAGTGCTCCAAAACATATATAAATCCTCTTAAAAATAGGATTCTCACCCTGCAAATCAGTCTTCACAATGACAGTACTTCCAGGGTTATTGCTCTTTAACTCCTCACAATAATCCCACAACTTACCATATTGCTCTTGAATACTACCTTGAATTCTAAGTTTTGCAAAACTCTTGGCTTTGTAAACTTGAGCCTCAGTTACATCTATGGCATATTGTTTCCTTATTAACTTCATGAAATCTGTCACTTTCATATTGGGATTATCTCTTAACTCCTCATCAAACCTCTTAGACAGCCATGATGAAGTGGCATACTTGGTTCTTTGCCTCCTTCCACATGTATGCCTTGGAACATATGTCTTAATCTTTGTAGTTGGACCTTTCCCCACATGAGAAGCATACAGCATCCATGGACATGGAACCTTTTGTTTATTATCTCCTTCACATTTGAGCCTCACCCACTTCAATGGCCTTGCACATGAAACTGCATAATACCTTATTGCTTCCTTACATTGCTCCATGTTCGTAAATTCCATTCCCAAATGAAATGTTGGCTTCAGCAAATCAAATTCTGTAAACTGCTTAAACCTAGGAGCTTTTCTTCTGCGGCTACGGTTTTTCACAACTTCATCCTCATCAGATTCTTCATCAAGACTTACAAGTTCGTCGGTATTGTAATCTTCACTGTCAACCTCACCAGGTTCTTCATTGTATTCTTCATTTTCTTCATCAACTACATGTTTATCAAACAAGTTATCATCCTCTTCCAAGACTGTCTTCAACCCTTCTTCATCTGACTGCTCAAACTCAGAGTCAATCAACTCAATGTCTGTCTCACTATCATCATCTTCAGCCTCATCATCTTCACTGTCATTTGCCTCATTACCTCCCTCATTATCTGCCTCATCATCACCATCATCATCTAAATCAACATCCACTTCTACAAACTGGTTCCCCAACTCACCAACATCAGTTTCAGTTTCAACTTCTACTTCCAACCCCAATTGTGGAGTAGATGCAGATGCCTGGCTCTCTGGGAAATGTGGTTGATGCTTATATGAGAGATATAAGGGTTGAACTTTAGAGGTAGGTGTATGCTCCACAAACTCAACTACATGGGCATCTACTTTAATTGGAACAAATCCCCTTCTTTTGTTCCAGTAGTGGTACTGTATTTTTTGATGCTCATATCCTAAACAGATAGCAACATCAAACAGGTCAAGCATCGACAGGTGGTCAGCATTACAGTTGTCTGCCCATGTAACCTTACCCTGAACATACTTCCCCTCTAAAATATAACCTCCATGGTGAATTTCTAGGGAGAACAAATCTGGATCACCTAAAAAAAAAAAATTATATATAAAAGCACTACTTTATCACACCAACTTATCCTTATTGCTCAACTACCATTCTAAACTTGAAATTGACTCAGATCCACCGACTATTATGCAGACAAAACAACACAAATGCTTTGGGACCACATGTATTTCATATTCAAAAAGGCATATCACCCAACACCACAAAATGTCAAAAGCACCGACAGACCAAGGACCAAAGGACCAAAGGACCACACAAGCTTAAACAATTTCAACTTGGGAAAAGCGTTTACTTACTGTATTTGGGAGGAGGCCCTCTGTTCCGCACCTGCAGAGGCAACACATCTAGACTCATGTTGTGTCGAATCAACAGAGCCAAAAGAAGCTTTATGAAAAAGCTTTCAGATTCCCTCGATATCATCCCTCTCCAACCTTCGATCCTTTTTCCCGCCCTCGAATCGGTACCTTTCTAACCCTACCAATCTGAAAGTGATGTGCGAAGTGTGTGAGAGAGGTTGAGAGAGGTTGAGAGAGGTTGCTAATTCAATCCGCGCTGAATGACGAAAATAACCCTCAACATATAGTCAACGTGGGTCAAATAGACGGATTAATAGATGAAATGTTCGAATTTTGACGGTGGGGGGAACATTGATAATAAAATTTAATTCGAGCCTTTAATTTGCTAAAAAAAGGTCGGGGGGTAAATTGAGAGTTATGTCCAAGTTCGGGGGGCAATTCGGCAGTATACCCTAAAATAAATGAATATAAATGTTAATAGGATAAAAGAAATCATATATCTTACTAAGGGTTAGTGGTTAGTAGTAGTTATTACTAAGGGTCAACCTTTAGTAATGGTTATTACTAAGGGAATCCCACTAGTAAAACAAATATTTATTACTATTTGGAGGGTGGTAGAACCGACACTTTCCCATTATATAAGTTATCACACTGTGGGCAATATAACTGCACCGCTATTCAAGATATAATAAAATGGGTTTTAAAATCACACCACCAATTTTATTACAATAATATATGTTACAACGTGATGGACAATGGAACTACATCACCATAAAATAATAGGATGGGGGATAAAACTGAGCCATATATTACTATTTGGAGGGTGGTAGAACCGACACTTTCCCATTATACTGTGGGCAATATAACTGCACCGCTATTCAAGATATAATAAAATGGGTTTTAAAATCACACCACCAATTTTATTACAATAATATATGTTACAACGTGATGGACAATGGAACTACATCACCATAAAATAATAGGATGGGGGATAAAACTGAGCCATTCCAAATTACAATATGAAAAAATAAATTAAACAAACATAAATGAAACAACATAAAAATTGTGAGAATACAAAAAAGAAAGTTTGCATGTTGTCATAGTAGTAAAGTGAGAGCATATGACAGAGAGGAGATAGAGAAATAACCACATAGCGTTTCGCTGGGAAAATTTAGAGGTAAAGAAGAGAGACTATTGTGCTGATAACGTGTTATAAAATAGACAGAGTATGAAAGTACCACTGAATATTGGTGTGGGATTATATTTGCTCTTGTGGTATTACACTGATAGAATTTTCTCTCGGATAAAACTTTCTAACTCTCAAAGTTCTCTCACTTTTCTCTTCGGATTGGTGTATCTTCTTCTTCGGCTGAGGATCCCTTTTATAGGGAAAGTTACAAGAGCAAAGCAGTTAATGTTTTGCATAAGAATTGGAGGTGAAAACATTTCACCCACAAAAAACGCTTTTTCACTTACATCAATCTACTATTGCATGCACATAAAGTCTTTCTTGCTACATCCACGCACACGTTTCACAACACCCGCAAAAAATTTCGGATAGTTTTTTCACCAACATTTTACCGTAGTAAAGTGATATAGTTTTGACAATGTGCATTGCGTGTTGTTGAACTTCAGATACGACAACACGCAAGGATGCGTTGTTAAAATATCCCCAAAATTCCATTTCTATAACGCGCACTACTTGTTGTAAGCGGTATAACACAACACGCGCGCTCCGCACGTTATGGAAAGTCCAATTCCACAGCGCGTAACTTACGCACGTTATTTGTTAATAACGTGTTATCGTACGGTATTTTTCTTGTACTTGTACTGTGTGTTTGACTAATCTAGATGTGTTTGGAAAAATCTAGCCAAAATTGATGTAATGGATGATGGTTGAGTGTGGCAAGGAAAACCCTTGCATGAGATAAGAACAAGCCACCCACTTACGTACGTAGTAAAAAACAATACCATTGATTTTTCTGGTCTAGAGCAAAGCTTTTTCCTATAAAATGAGTGCTTAGTCTATTTTGAAATAATAAGAACAATAAGGTGTGCTCATTTACAGATGTGCGACCATAGTATAGATTTAATAAAGTTGCAGGCCATCACATTTCTCCATCTACATCTCTCAACACAGGCTTCAAAGACTGGCATAAATTAATCCAAAGCAGCAAAAACAGAAAAACAAAGATAGCAAATGGGAAAGGGAGGAAAGCCTGATGAAGGTGATGGCTTTGGAGATGCAAGCAGAGATGGTGTTGAACAAAAGAACATGGCTGCTTGGCTTCTTGGGGTTAACACCCTCAAAATCCAACCTTTCAAGCTCCCTAATCTCGGTACCAATTTGTTTTTTTTTCTCAAGCTTTAATTGGATCACTGTTTTTTAACTCAACTTCTTTCACATTTCAGGTCAAATTATTATTTGTGCTGTTATCCTTTTTGCCTAATTGACTTCCTGTGTTCCTTGTTCTCTTGGGATTTCTTTAGGACCCCATGATGTTTTAGTTCGACTCAAGGCTGTTGGCATATGCGGCAGTGATGTTCACCACTTCAAGGTCCCCCCCTCTTTCCCTTCTTGCAGGCACACTGCCTTGGTCAATTGTAACCCACTTCTTCATCGGAAATTCGATTGTTAGTCAATTGTAACCTAATTGACTTACTGTTTTGATTGTTGTTTGTTACTATTTCAGAACATGAGATGTGCAGATTTTGTGGTGAAAGAGCCAATGGTAATTGGCCATGAGTGTGCTGGGTTCGTAGAGGAAGTTGGGAGTGAGGTGAAGCATCTGGTGCCTGGTGACCGTGTGGCACTAGAGCCCGGCATCAATTGCAAGCGATGTGAGCTATGCAAACAAGGCCGATATAATCTATGCCCCGAGATGAAGTTTTTCGGGTCCCCTCCAACTCATGGTTGCCTGGCAAATCAGGTACTCATGTATTTGCAGCATATTATATGCCAGTTGTAACTAGCACAAGATGACACGTGGAGCGTTGTAAGCTTGTCACATGACTGGACTATAACCCTCATTACAGTCTAAAATGCATTTAGGTCGGTCTGTGAGTTGAAATAGTACAAACAACAACACTCACTTTGAGATACTATAGCTTTTTAGTGGGCAATTCAAATTTGAGGCAGGTGTTTGAGATACATGATGTTTTCTTATATTTTATTTTACAGGTTGTCCATCCTGGAGACCTGTGTTTTAAACTACCAAACAACGTGAGCTTGGAGGAAGGGGCAATGTGTGAACCCTTAAGTGTTGGTGTTCATGCTTGTCGTCGGGCTAATGTCGGTCCAGAAACAAATGTTTTGGTCATGGGAGCCGGACCTATAGGACTTGTTACATTGTTGGCTGCTCGTGCCTTCGAAGCATCTAGAATTGTCGTGGCGGATGTGAATGGCCATCGTTTATCCGTTGCAAGGGCTCTTGGTGCACATGAGATCGTCAAAGTTTCCACAAATATCGAGGTACATGATGTTGTTACATTTTCAGGGTTTGTAAGGTGACATCAACCCTTTTTTCAATGAGTTATCTAAATTATTTTGAAGGAGGTTGCTGAAGAAGTGGCTAAGATAAAAGAAGCTATGGGAACTCGAGTGGATGTAAGCTTCGATTGTGCAGGGTTTAATAAAACTATGGCGACAGCTCTAAGTGCTACTGGTTCCGGTGGCAAAGTTTGCCTTGTGGGAATGGGGCAGAGAGAGCTGACTCTCCCACTCACTTCAGCTACTGCCAGGTATAAATTGATTAATTTATTAGTTAAGTTTGTAAAACTATTAGTATCGTATTTGGTGTCACATCTCTAATAGAGGTATGAGACATGACTCACTTGTGACACACATTATTTGTATTATTTATGATTTCTTGATTTTAATACAGAGAGGTCAATGTGATTGGAATTTTCCGATACAAGAACACATGGCCCTTGTGCCTTGAATTGTTGAGAAGTGGTAAGGTTGATGTGAAGCCCCTGATAACACATCGTCTTGGATTCTCTCAAAAGGAGGTGGAAAAAGCATTTGAAATCAGTGCTGGTGGAGGCAATGCCATTAAGGTCATGTTTAATCTGTAAAATTGGCTCAGGAAATGGAGCCAATCTTTGGTGAAATTTTTGTTTTGCTTTGTTTGCCCAATAATTGGGGTTTGTGGTTGGGTGTTGTACTTATAATTAGCCCATTTTAAACCCATCTAGTCGGGTACTTTCTGTTGTAAAAAAACAACTATTGAAAGGAAAAAGGAGATTGACCGAAAAAAGAGAAGGAACATGTTCTTATGTGATCCCAAAGCGCACAAATACAATCAAATCTTCACGAAAAAACACCTATTGAGGCTTAGATGACCATGTGAAATCTTAATGTTTATCTTTATGGAGATTTCAATAAATAAAAAATTCAAATTCTGATTTTTTTTTTTGTTTCATTACAAGCGATTGGGGGAGGGGGGTTTACACAAATATTCATTAAGTGTCTGGGGGTTTCGAACCTCTACTCACATGGGTAGAGGTGAAAGAGCCCTAAAGACCAAGTTATAGTCCCTTATGGGGCATTTTCTCAAAGGTGGCCTGAAAAGCAAAGAAAATATAGAACAACTTTGAGTAGTGAAGTTTTTTTTTTTAATTTTTAAAATTAGCGATAATTGTATTCAATAATTGGGTACATTTACCCATAAAGGGTTAATATATAAAGATGGATGCACTGTAACCGCAAAAAGTTAATCAAGATATAGGAGAATACACCGGCGACATCGCACATCTAATATCTCTACTAATAACCCTAAAGACCAAATACATTTCAACGTAACAGTCACACGCATATGTAGAGAAGTTTTTATCCATGAATACTACAGTAAAATAAAGAATTGAATAGATGAACAATGAATTATCACATACTTCAAGTTTGTTTGCTTGTCCAGAGAAACAAGTGGAGAGCTAATTAAGCAGCTAAGGAATTTGATCCAGACATAAATCAAAGCAAATGAAAATGTACGCTAAAAAGAAAAGGCTTCATTTTTGGAAATTTAATATTATAATATTTAATTTAGTACAAGTGTCGTG